ACAGGCATGCATTTGTTCTTTGTTGTCTGTCCTTGTCTGCCACAGCATGTGCCGAGCTTCAGGGCAGTGGTTGATGGAGAGTTAGGCTCATGTGTACCTGTGCTCTAGGCTGGCTGGGCTTTGATGGTTTCTTCCTGCCCCTACCCAGTTCGTAGAATGACTGAGTGGGAGACAGCTGCACCCGCGGTGGCAGAGACCCCTGACATCAAGCTCTTTGGGAAGTGGAGCACTGATGATGTGCAGATCAACGACATATCCCTGCAGGTGAGGGGGGCACGGCGGGTGGGTGTCCAGGAGTCCTGAGACAATAGGCAGCAATACTTTTTCACAAGATCAAAGGGTGGGACAGGAAAGCTGCATGGATTTCCCCGACATAGGAAAGCAGAAGGTGTTGGCAATGCTGGCCACCACCTGGTGTTGAGATAGTTAAGGGATGGGTTTGATGTAGATTCTTCCAAGAGAGGTCACTTTAAAGTTCTAGTTGTTTGTTAGGTCAAGACATAACAGATAAAGCAGGGAACTGCTGACCACCCACACACCCCATGTCCATTTATCCTTGTGTCCTCCGCAGAGGTAGCAACTGTTTTCATTGTGGGACGGTTTCTTCCCCACAAGGAGTGTCACGTCCCACAGACTATTTTGGTGTTAAAATACACGTAACATAGGGTCCGACTTCATTCTCTTAAGAATGTATATGCAATTGTCCCACCACCATTTGTTGAAGAGATGTTTTTGTCCCTAATCGAATGGGTTTGGCATCCATGTTGAAAACCAGTTGATCATAGATCCCTAACAGGGAATATTCTGTTCTTTACACGTTTGTTCATATTGTTTGTATTTTTTTTTTGCTTCATAGCAAATGACATTGTGCACAGGCACCCTTCCACTTGCCTATCTATGCAGGTATTTCCAGGGTAGATACTGAACTGTCATGTGATTGTCTTTTTCCCACCATTTATTTGTAGAAACAGGTTGTGTGTGTTCTTGTATATAAGTAAAAGAATGACTTTGGATACCTATCAGTCCCCTTTGCTAATTCCACCAGTGGTTCTCAACCTGGGGCAATTGGCCCCTCAGGGCTCTCGGCAATGTCTGGAGACATTTTTGGCAACTAGTGGGTAATACTGCTAAACACCCTACAGTGCTATAAAGGAAGTGCCTTTTTTTAGCAGTGTGTTCAAGTCACTTGATGTTTTATTTTATCATGGCAGGTGGGCTTCACAACCAGGACCCCAGGGAGGCAGGCCAGACTACAGGCGGGTCTGGAGCCCCCTACACTCCCATTAGTCTTTGGCTAAGGCCTAACCTTCCCCTGACCGTTGTCCCCACATCTCTGCAGGATTACATCGCAGTGAAGGAGAAGTATGCCAAGTACCTGCCCCACAGTGCAGGGCGTTACGCAGCCAAGCGTTTCCGCAAGGCACAGTGCCCCATTGTGGAGCGCCTTACCAACTCCATGATGATGCATGGCCGCAACAACGGCAAGAAGCTCATGACCGTGCGCATCGTCAAGCACGCCTTCGAGATTATCCACCTGCTCACTGGCGAGGTAGTGCCACGTGGCCAGGCAGGGGTGCCCTTCACACACTTCAAAGCCAGCGGCTGCATTGTTGCATGGATGCTGGCTCTATCCCTTGTGTGACGGAATTGTACCTGTTTGGGTGCTGGGGAGACAGAGGGACACATGGGGCTGGTCATCGGGCACCCGTGCCCATGTGGTTTTTCCTTGCGCTCACGACCCTCCTCTCTTCCAGAACCCCCTGCAGGTCCTGGTGAATGCCATCATCAACAGTGGCCCACGGGAGGACTCTACGCGCATTGGGCGAGCTGGGACGGTGAGGCGGCAAGCTGTGGACGTGTCCCCACTGCGCCGCGTGAACCAGGTAGGCCTGGGCCGTGAAACATGGGGCAGGGCAGGAGCAGCCACCAGGAATGGGCAGAGGCCTGTCTGATGCATAGGAAGGCTTGTCCCTGCCTGCAGGTTTTACCTGGAACATCACTTCCTCCAGGAAGCCTTCCCAGATCTCCACCCAGTCTGGGCAGATTGCAACTCGGGACCACATTTGGCTTAGGTGCAGTTTTATGTAGGCGTATGTTTTTATACCCTTTATATGTGTGTAAGAGCCCTGGTGATACAGTGGTTAAACACTAGGCCGTTGCCAAAAGGTTGGCAGTTCGAACCCACCAGCTGCGCTGCAGGAAAAAGATGTGGCAGTCTGCTCCTATAAAGTTTACAGTCTAGGAAACCCTAGGGGGCAGTTCTGCTCTGTCCTGTAGGGTCATTAATGAGTTGGAATCGACTCTACGGCCACGGATTTGGTTTTGGATATATGTGTGTGTGCTCTTTTTTCCTAAACCATTTGAGAATCCGTTCTAGATATTCTGCCACTTTACTCCTACACATTTCAGTGAGTGTCTCCAAAGAACAAAGCATGTTCTGTCACTATCGTCACTCTTGAGGAATTGTAACAGCTGTGGAATATCTAATGTTCAGTCATGTTGAGATATATACATCTGTCGCAAATGAGTCCTTTATAGCTGGTACCTTTCCATCTAGGGTCAAATCTGAGACTGCACCTTGTGTTTGGCCATCATGGCATGTCTCTTGAATCTTACATCATCAGGGACCCATTATCAGACTTTGTGTGTGTCTTGTGACACACTTCTCTGCACCCTTGAGGCCAGTTATCTCAGAGCGCCTGATATGTCTGATTTGTGCAGGTTTGCTCATGCTGAGATTTGGCAGGATACCACCTGGGTGGTGGTGTGGCTTCCACTGTGTCTCACCTGGGAGGTGGGGGACAGGATACCAGAGGGCCACAATCCTCCCTGGTGGGATGTCCCACACCTCAAGCTTAACCTGACCCTTGTGCTCTTTAGGCCATCTGGCTGCTATGCACAGGTGCCCGTGAGGCTGCCTTCAGGAACATCAAGACCATTGCTGAGTGTCTGGCGGATGAGCTCATCAATGCGGCCAAGGTGGGCAGGGTGGGGAGAGTGAGAGTCTTACGGTGGGGCATGGGAGGGGGCCTCTGGCATCCAGAACTGACCATTTATCTCCTCCCAGGGCTCATCTAACTCCTATGCCATCAAGAAGAAGGACGAGCTTGAGCGTGTGGCCAAGTCCAACCGCTGATGTCCTGGCTATGGCCCAATAAACCTTTCAGCCCCTTGGGGTGGCCCCGCCTACCTGTGTCTGTTGTCTGTCCTTTGGGGGGTGAACTGTGGGAGCTTCTGGGGGCATTACCACCCAGGCATCCATTCTTAGGCTTACGTTCCTGGCACATATGCCAGGCTACAGGGGTCTGAATTCACCAGGAAAACACTTGGGGTTTGGGAAGCACTGGCTGACTCAGAACCAGGGCTCCCTGGGGCCCTCAGGCTAGAAGGTAGGGCATGGGGGGTACAGGCCTGGCAGCCTTGGGCTGTTCCCAGTGGGTGCTGGAAATAAGAGTTGGCAGTTGGTGGTGGCAAGCCAGAGTCCTCTATAACCTCTAATGTTATAAGGCCTGGTGGAAGTAGCTTGGGTTCTGGGTTGGGCTTTGGAGGTCTGGGCGGCTGAGAGGCACATTACCTGGATGCAACTCCAGGGAGAGGAAGCAAAGGTCAAATGTTGGAACCACAAACTTCACCAGTCCTTGCTCAGTGACACAGGCTGGCTGTCAGGGTGTGGAACATGTCACAGTCCCTACATAGCACTCCAGTTCTGCCCACTGCGTGCTACCTCTTGGGGCTCCAGAAGTCCTTCATACACATAATGATGAGCCCTTGGTGCCTAACTGACCAGGTTGCCCAGGGCTGCAGGCTGTGCCTCCCAGGCCATGATGGAGGTATGACTGCTAGGCTGCTACCTCTCACCTCTTCTGGACATAGCCTTGTTTTCCTCCACCAGCAGCGTTCCACGGATGTTCCAGGATCAGTATTTATCAGAAAGTTTCTCAAAGTAGGGGTGGTGGTGGGGTGAGCCTCTTGACCACCCACCTAGGGTCTGGTGTTAACGATTGCCCTGTCATCAGTGCTATCACCCACCCCCGCCATCCGGAGGAGGTCAGGTATGGGGTTCACCCTCCTGGCAGGACCAGCCTAGGAGGCAGGGAAGGTGGTAGGACAGGTCTAGCAGGATCCCTGGGATGGGGATGGCTCCACAGCAGGCACCGCCTTGAGGAGGGGCTCCTTAGCTCACAACAACCAGTTGGCCCTGGACTGCGGTCAGACCTGGCAGGGTCCCGACACTGGCCAGAGGGAGGAGGTGCACCAACAGGTAGGAAAAGGCCAACCGACTGCTGGGGTTTGCCACTACAGAAGCAGGGGGCCCTGTCCTACCCCAGCATCCCCAGTGAGGCACCCTGGCCTCCCTCCCTTGCCACTTGTCCCTGCTGCTCATTGCCTTTCCTTTGGCTCAGGTGTCCTCCCTCTTATGACTGCTCCTCCCTGGAGTACAGCCTTACAGGGTCTGTCCATGCTCCCGCTCTGTCTGGAGTCCCTATTTGGCTCTCTCCATCTGGGGTCCTCCTGGAGACACTCCTATCACTAACACTCCCTGTCTCTGCCCCTTTCTGGTCTCTTCTGACTGCATCTCCCACCTCCCAGTTTGCCTCTGGGACCTCCCCCAAGTCTAGATCTGCTGTCCTCGGTCTGTCTCTGGTCCAGTCCAGGTTCCATCCTTGTCTCCAATCCTCTTCTGTCCTAACACTCTCTCCGACCCCCCAGTCCTTAACCTCCCTAGAGTCCACCTCTCAGATATGCACACTCCTCTGTTCTTCTCCTGAGTGCTCCCCTCTCTTCCCCATCCTCTCTCCTCCCCGTCTCTGCTGCCCCTTGGCTCTACCCCCTCCTTCCTCTGACATTCTGCTCTGGTTCCTGGCAATTCCCTACAGAGTCCTGCCCTGCTATCTCCCGAGTCTCTGCCTGATCATCCCCACACCCAAGCCCTCCCCACCCCCTACTCCATGCTACCGCCACCACCTTCCCCTACTGACTGCGCCTGCCCACAGGTCCAGATGCCCTGCCCACGGCCGCTGTGGCTCCGCCGCCCGCCGGTCCCTCAGGGCTCGGGCCCCAGCTCACCGCGCATGGGGGAGGACGAGGAAGAGGAGGAGGAAGAGGAAGACTGCAGCCTGGGCTCCAGCCCCATCCTGTCCCCCACATCGCCCATGGAGTGCCTCATCTGCGTGTCGCCCTTCGACGGCGTCTTCAAGTTGCCCAAGCGCCTGGACTGCGGCCACGTCTTCTGCCTCGAGTGCCTGGCGCGCCTGTCGCTGGCCACGGCCGGCGGCGGGGATGCGGTGGCCTGCCCCGTGTGCCGCGCGCCTACGCGCCTGGCGCCGCGCGGC